AAAAAAAAAAAAAAAAAAAAAAAAAAAAAAAAAAAAAAAAAAAAAAAAAAAAAAAAAAAAAAAAAAAAAATCTAGCAGCGGAGTAGTGCATAAAGTGTTCAGATCTTAAATCAAATAGTCTCGTGTTCTCCTGCTCCTAATGACATGAAACAAGATAGTATTTTGCAATGGCCTAACAATAAAATATCGGATCAATAACCTAGAACAAAACAAAAATGACAGAAATGATATCGCTGACGACAAAGAAATCTAAATAGAAATACCTATACCAACATCAGAAATTCCAATTCCACCTGAGGTAGCTAACTGATCCTCTCGCCTGGGTACCAAAATGAAATTTGACTTGTCTCTGCGATTTGTATTCTTCACACTCTCCTTTAAAATATACTGCATGTATAACAGAACTAAAGTCTTCAGACAAAAATATAGACACAAGTTGTTCATAAAAAAGGGCATCAATTAAGTGTATGAAATGTAGGGGGCAAAAAACTAAAGCCTTAATTTCAATGTTCACTGATCATAACCTCGACGTGGTGTAGCATGATACAGTTTACACCACAGTAAGGCAAAAATTAAAAATTTATACTATTTCCACCAATAACATTAGAAACTTTAGGTTGGTTTCTGCAGTCAAACCCATTGATATCATTAGTTTCTGCTTCACCTCACTGTCGAAGGTACAAATTTCCAAGGTCAAGTTTCTAGAGCTGCAGGACTAGGAGTAAGGACTTGCACTAGGGCGTCAACACTATAGATGAAATACAGAGGCAATATTTCTTTGTGTTATGGCTGTACCAAGGCATTCTTAGAAGGGGAGCATTTGAGGATTTAGTCGCATCCTTGGGAGATGGCAGTTTGCTACCTTGATTTCCAATTTTGGTTGAGGTCTTAAGAGTTGCTTGGTTTGTAATAGAGATAGTGGTCTTCTGTGATCAAAGCGTACAATATTAAAATATTTCATTAGATTTTTGTCATTTTATGGATCGCTAGAGAGTAATATGAGAATCTTTAACGTTTCGTGAGGAGATTGGGTCCTTTGCTAGGTTTAATGCATCTCTTTAAGCAAGTGTAAGTAAGGACTTTTGTAATTATCCTTTAGGCATTTTTCTTCATTTTGTTAGTTAAAAACATTCTGCTCCCCATCCTTAGATCTAACAAGCAAAGAAAGCTTATTTTCCCAAAATCAACAGGGGAAAAATAGTGGAGACACTAACAAACTAGCACTTGCGAATTTTATAAAGTTCGAAGAAAAAAACTATGAAAAAGTAGCACATGCCTTCTTCTTCTCCATCCCTCGCTTTGCGGAATTCGACTCAGGCTTTCTAGAGGATGCTCCCCCACCTCTTTTGACCTTCCGAGGTAATGAAGATCCCTATTGAACCAAAAAAAAACTTTACATGAGATAATGAGGAATTGGTATATATAAATTAGAAGAGGAATACAATCTTTAAGCTCACATAGAAAACCATCGTAAGAGCATTTGGATTCACATAATGCATGGTATTAACCAATACGAAAGGAAAAGATACTGAAATTATTACACAAGCAGCAGACGAGTTCCAATGAAGGAATCTCGACTTAATGCTGAAGTGAATGTATAAATAATAATCTCTACATGGACAGAACCAACACCTAATGAAGTACAAAAAATAAAGAAAGTGGTTTCATTTTCTCTGAATGATTAAAATATAGCACACAGGACCATGTATTAAGAATACAGCAATCTCACCTGCGTTCCGCTCTCAACTGCTCGTTTCTGGCGAACAAACTCCATGAGAGGGGTAACGATCGGAGTTTCTTTCGCAGCACCTGCAAACAAAAGAAGAAATATAAAACTTCAAGAATCATCTGAATTTAAAGTGAATAGTATCTCTATGGAAGCTCATAGCAAAGTAACATAACGAGTATTCAGCAACTTTTCGGCACCCTATTTTACATTATAAACATATACGAACGCGAGTAATGTCAATAAGTCAGTCAGTGAACATAATAACAAACCAGATTGCTCTGCTTCTTTTCTTTCCAACTGTATTTCAGCACTTGGAAGATGCTCAGCAGGCTTTGCAATAAGTTTGAGAAACTCCAAATAATCCGGATCTGCTTTCATCGAGAAAAGATAATTTACACTTACATAATAACCAATATAAAACAAGAAAAACCATGTAATCTCCGTCTTCTCACTAACCGATCATTACCTTTGTATATAGTCCCCTCACGACCATCCTTTTTGGTCGATGATCTGGGAACACGCTGTGAAGGTGCATATTCAACTACAGCCTTAAACTGAGCACCTGTAATTATTTGACTAAATAAGTTAACTTCAATCGAGACTTTAAACATATGGAGAGAAGCATGATCCAAGCATTAAACAGTTCTTAGAAATGGGTAATGCACATCAGAAAACCTCAAAGGGAGCAATCTGTAAGCATATCAATCAACATTAAGCAATGGAATCATTTATAAATTTGTTATCTCCCACTTCTAAGAAATGGGTAAGGTTTCAATGAACCACCCACCACACCCACAAGAAACAAGAAGCTACTCATAAGTTCAATAAAGGAAAAAGAACAAGCTATCGGCTTTACCCTTCTCATTAACGAAAACATGCCCATCAAAAAACTCCGCAAACTCAAAAACATCTTCAGGTCTCGTAAAATCTATGTAAGCTCGAGCATATCTCTGGTCCTTCTGACTGCAAAATTATTTCAGAAGAAACCTCTGAATGAGTAAAAAACCTTCAGTATTGTGAGCTTTAGAAACCAAGAGAAAGTACACAACATGAGAAAGTAAGAACTTAGCCGATTCCAACCAAAAACACACACGAACTCTAGAACGATTGCTGGATTTCGTTTCCAGAATCATAATCATACACATTTGGGCATGAAATTGGAGGGGAGAAAAAAGTCTCCTACATTATTCTAATCACCAACCCTCCCCAATAGCCCACCTAAGGGGGGGAAAAGAGCGTAAAGCACACAAAAACTCAATCCAAGAGATACCCACTTCGCGCATGGCGTTACTCATTCAATCTCCAGATTTCTGAAATCCAAGACGACATATAACAACATATAACAACATATAACTGAAAACCCAGTTTATAAGACTAATTTTTCGTTTGAAAGCTGGAATTAGAGGAAAAGAAGGAGAAGAAGAAGAAGAAGAAGAGGGGCGAACCTGGTCTTTCCAGGACGATAGTAACACCAATTGTAGCGACCAGCGAATCGATCATCAATATTGTGGAAGAGATCTGAGTGAGGAAGAGAAGGGGGCAAGTGCCTAATTACTACTTTGGTCCGCTCCAACGGGTCCTTCATCTGAAAAACCCCCCGCACTGCCAAGAGAAATTCAGAATTTCTTTCTGCTTTTTGATTCTAATTTCTCGACAATTTTTGCTCTGGAGGAGAAAATGTTTTCGGGAAATTTGGGAATTGGGGTTCGTAACGACGACGGGAGTTCGGAGAAGGAGAAAGGACCGAAAGGTCGGGAACTGATTTGGGCTCGTTCGGATCTTCAAGGCCCAATGAAAACTTTGGGCCGGGTCGACCAACGGCCCAATTTCCAGTTGAAATTTGGTGCGAGCGTCCGTCCTTCGCTCAGCATTATAGCACATAGGGCTTCAGCGCTACTACAGCGCTTCGCTAACGCTCGGCTAAGTCTTGAACCTTCACACTGACCGTTCGCTTTCTCAGTAACAAAAGCTCTTCTCTTTGCCCCTTACGATGAAAACCTTAAGCGAGAGATTTGTTGTTTTATTGCTCCTGCTTCCTCATCACATCTAGGCTCGTCAAGCCAACTTGGCTTTTTGGTAATTGAAACTGCGGTTGAAGCGGACATTTCGAAATGACAGCATCGAAGATATATATAGATATAGATATAGATATAGATATAGATATATATACACGGTTACGCTTACTAAAAGACTGACTTAGGCCAGCGTGAAAGAAAGGGCGGGCACTCTCGTGTTTCAACCCCACTATACTCTTCATAGTTGTGGGGCACTGTATACTGAAAGCTTCTACGATAAGCAAGTGAATGGGGGCGGTGCGTGGCGAACGGAACGGTTCATCAAGCCATTTCTCGCCTTTGTTTCATTTTTTAGGGTTTAGGGTAGGTTAGGTGTCATAGTAGCAGTTTCTAGGCAGGGACTTTGGCAATTGTGCGACACTCACTCTTAGCACGGAATGAGTCAAGTCAACTTCAGATCATGTTGCCTACGGTTGGGCAACGTGTATACAAACCTCGAGTCTTGATTTCAAGAGAAAATTTTAGAAAGCGAGGAGAGAGGTTTTGGAAAACGAGTTTTGTGTTATATAGCATGCAAGCAAAAAGGCGACAACGACGACTTAAATAGTGTATAACTTTTCGGGTAGGGAGAATTTGACAACTAGTCGTATTCCCCTATAGTACATTTGGAGGCATTTCATGTCTATCAGGTGTAGCCATAACTTCACTGGAACGTTATACTCTTAAAGAAAACAAGAAAGAAATAATACAACATGAAAGCGGTAAAAGAAAGCAGTAAAATAGTACAAGGCAAGGTTTCGGCGTGTCACGGGCATACGACCATGGGCGACATGCCTTGGACAAGCATGACCATGACATTAGGGTTGTACATTGCTCGGTTAGTGAACAACTTGAAGTTTCGAGTTCGTTGGGTTGGTGACAAGTAACCCAAATAGAGTTCACAACCCCCAACCTTCTAATTTCGGGTCGAATTGTCTAGCTATCGTAAATTATTTTTAAAAAATACTAATCCACAATACATATTATAGTAATAAATAAAATCTCATAAGGACCTGTATCAACAAATTTCAGATCCTCGAAAGGTCCTTTCTCACTAATATCTTCCTTTAGCACTCATATGTCTAAATTTATTGTGTCATAAACTTGAACTGGAAGCACTTTCGACAACAACAATCATATGTTTATACACCTGCCATTGGTGTTTAAGGTTCTAGATTTTGTGTCACGTGCTAACACCATAGCATTCTTCATAATTTTCTATGAATTCTTTTCAAACTCAACTGCATAACCCTGATGTCCAATTGATCAATTGAGACCAAATTATTCATGAGACTAGAAGTATATCTAACATCCTTCCATGTCTACTAATTTTGTGCTAGAGTTGTATGCAGACATCTCCCTCCCCTTCAATCTCTAAGACTTTTTGACATCAAGATACACTTTCTCGAAATTTTTAGATTTTAAATTTTGTAATAGTTTCTTGCTGGAAGACGAGTGAAAAAGATTCTCCAGAATCTAGTCAACCGAGCTGTCCACACTAAGGACTAGAGCATCCCAAATATCTTTTTTGAAATTACAAAATCATTATCATCCCGCATTTGTGATTCTGCTTCTTCTTTGGTTTTTTGTCTAGTACGAATTGTTAGGATCACACAACTCACATACTCGATCTAGATGAAGAACATGAAGAACTAGAGAGAGAGAATTACTATAAATTTATATAGATGACTTCTAGTATATACAGTTAAGGGTACATCTTCAAAGCACTACCTGGGTGAATATATATATAGTTGAATTTGCTAAACATAACAATTTACTATACACGACCATTTACTGTATATAGCCATTGAGTAAATTATATCCTAACAAGTAACACCTTTGGCATCGAGGGTATCAATCAACTCCAAGACTCATACCATTGTTAGGTTTGTTAGGTTATGGAGCCTGCTGCTTATTTATAGCTTAGTCAACGGTTATACATAATAAAGTTATATATGGTAAATTGTCATAAATAGTAAATAGCGAGAAAAAACTATATACAGTAAAACTATATATGTCAGATAGAGAGAAAAAAAACTAAGTAAAACTATATATGGCAGATAGTTATATATAGTAGAGGGTTATATCTGGAAGAAATATGTATAGTAAGCTGAACCATATATATATATATCTCTTGAAAAATGTACTTTATGTATTCTCTGTATTCTCTCTCACCGTACATACGTAAAGTCATCCATATAAATTCTTTAAAATGTACTTTATGTATTCTCTGTATTCTCTCTTACTGTACATACGTGAAGTCATCAATACAAATCCTTTAACCAATATTCTCCTTGCATTTTCTCTATCATGTTCTTTGTGTTCATCTCGATCGAGTGTGTGCTGTTGTGCGATCCTAACAACCACGACAAAAGATAGACGGTTGAGTGTTGAAAAAACAATATCACATTTTCTTTTTTTCACAAGGGGCTTCCCATCCACTATGATGGTGACATTTTGATGACAACAACTAGACTATTTTAAAAATTCAAAAGGTCAACTTTAACTTAAACTTAATTGGAAGCCTCACCTTCTATTAAAAATAAATAAATAATCCACAAAATCATATAAATAAAACATAATATTTTTTAAAGTTGGCTTATAAATTCGAGGTGAAAACCCTATTTGGAAGTAAGAGAATCAATAATGGAGGAAACTCATCAACAACTCATACCGTCTTCCAGTGTTGCTGGGGAAGTTGATGCCTTACAAAGGACACCTCTCCACTTAGCTTCTGGAAAAGGAACTGTCGAGATTGTTCAAGCTTTGCTGGAGAAGAACACAAGCACTTGCATGGTACGTGATTTGCATGGGTTGATTCCTCTCCACCATGCAGTGATTAATGGAAGAATTGATATCATGCCACTGTTGATCAATGCGAGGCCACAATCTCTTTGGATGAAGCTTCACAATGGTCAAACTGTTCTTCATTTATGCGTAATGCACAACCACTTGGAAGCTCTTAAGTTGTTGATCACAATGATTGAAGATCATCAAGATTATGGATTCCTCAACGAAGGTGATGAGAATGAAAATACGATTTTGGATTTGTCTATGATGTTGAGACAAATTGAGGTATGTTCTTATAATTGAATTGGTTGGTCGAAGAAAAACTAAGTTCTTATTTGATATGTCAAAACAAGTAAAAGAGGCAAAGGAAATACTTGAGGAGAGAGAGGTTTTGGAACAAAGAAATCTTAAGCGAAAAAAAAAAAAAAAAAAAATAT